AACCATTCATTAAAAGCAAATAGCCTACTGAACCTCTCGATTCCTCGCTGGAACGTGGGAAGCGGTCCTGACACGATGATCCTCGTCGTGGGCGATGTGCTGCGTACCTTCTCAATCAGGCTTCTGAAGTCCTTCTTCAGGATCTCTGTCTGCCTCAGCCTGGTGTCGTTCGTGCCAGCATGGAGAACCACAGCTCCGAACAAACACTTTATAATACAGATTAGATGAATGAGCTAATCATTATCAGCTTCCTGTCAATACAATCACTGCAAAATCCTTTTTAAGTGACTTCTAATGAAGTTTCTCTTGGCCTGATGGACTTGCAGCGAAACACTCCTTTAATATACACAAGCACCGGTTAATAAAAGCAAGAATCCGCACAGATGACCTTTTAACCTTGTCGTTTGGTCACGCTATAAGGCCATTTTTTAACCACTTCCCCTGTGTTGCTTCTGCTTTTACTGTAAAGTACGCTACAGCGGCCATGTTGATTTATGCGTTTTCTAGATACGTAAATTTGTTTTTGACTTTTCGAGATGCTTTGCTGAGATGTTAAGCATTAATTTAAAAACAATCCTTACTTAGAAATACAATTATACAACTAGACATTTGCAAATAGCTGGTTATAATCCACAACATTCATAACAGGCGCATACCGAGGCCTCATCTTTGCGAATATTTTTTTTCTTCATTACCATCAAAGATATTCATTTGATTCCAAAATTGTAAACTGTGACACCCCAAAGTGTAAATGTGCTGCACTACTTCTTTATTATACTTCTGTATAGTCAGTGTTATAGAGTTAAAAAGCGAATATGTATGTATGTTGATTGATCTAAGTGCTACTTTGTTTACCGTTGATGCTGTCAGCAGCCATGTCAGTTTGACGTCACTTGCTGAACTCGGACTTGAGGAGACCGTCCGGAGTTCTCGTGGAGGAATTTAGAGTTGAGGGGGTGTTTTCTGATGTCTTAAGATGCAGTAATGCTCCATTTTTAATAGTCATTTATCTGTTAAAAAATGCCAATTCATGTAAAATACATGAAAGAATGCAGGTAGCAAACCAGCTTCCACTGGCAGTTCATCTAATTTAACCTTACCTTTAAAACTCGCAAAAGAAAGGCGGGCCTTCATAATAAAAAAAATTTTAAAATCAAAATTAATTAAATCCTAATTACTACCTAGGCTAGTGGTCACATGACACTTTTGTCTTCTTGATATCTTTTTCCACAGTTGCAAAACATAGCATTAACTGTTCAGTGGAACCACACTGAATCACAACACTATCAGAATAAACTGCTCTATAGGTGAACCTTTGTTTCCATTTGTTTCCCAATTCTCGAATCTGATTGGTCAGATGTTGGTCAGGTGGTGATTAATTTTCTATAACAGCAGCTCTGACTGTATTTCCTACTGCAAGGCAAATCACTTCTTCCAATACATCTAATAATGTTTCTGTAGTAACAGCTAATGTGAAGGAACGACTGTTTATAGCTGTTATGACGTAAGTGATAACAGGAACTAACTCGTTTTGTGTTGTGGGCGTTCCACAAAAAGTAATTATAAACAGATAAAAAAAAAAGTATCATACCACCCTGTTGTTGATTTTTTTCTTCCAGTTATTTTTTTACCCTTAATGAGTTCTAAATGACCAGTACGTCCTAAATGTCCTCTAACTGAAGGTATAAAAGACGTGATTGTACGTGAAATGGACCTTTTTCTCCAAGGGTGTAGCAGAGAGAAAGTCCAGTGTGACCACTGCTTGAGAATTATAGTTTTTGTAATGAAAGAAAACTAAAATTATAATGTATAAATAACAGATCAGTCGTAATTTAACAGTAATCGTTCCCACATTGTTTTTACTGAACTGAACTAAAGCGCCAGAAATGTATTAAATTCTTTCTATAACACACTGAATCAGTATGAAACAACGTTCAGTGTTAAAACACGCAAAAAGAAGCCGTTTGTGTTCTTATTTCATTTTTTACCAGGGAGTGTCTACAGCACTGAGTGTATATTATGTGGATTATGTTTTAACAAGGGTGTGATTTGTATTAATTTTAGTCTTGAAGTAAAAAAAAAAAGTTTGTTAGAGTTAAGGAAAAAAAAGATGTTGAATACAATGGTTCACTGTTTGCATACAATAAAACATTAACAATAGATAACGGCGTGTGAGACTTCTGTAACTTTTATTTAAAGGAGTTTTACCCACGTATGATGCTGTGTAGCATCTGTGACGTAAACCTGCACGTACATTTTACTGGCCACTTTATTACACATTCCTGCCTTGATGCTCCTTTTTTCCCAGCATGATGTATGTTCAGGAAGAAACTCAAGAAATTCAGACAGTTTGAGGATTGAGTTCAGTTTCACTATTCAGTTCAAGGTCCTACAGTATAAATCTTTTTTTGTTTATTCACGCAGGTTTTTGATTTCTGTAACTACAGGATGATTTTCTGAGTATGACCACTTGCTGGAAGGATAATCTATTAATCACACCAAGCTTAATGGATTTCATTTGGAATAAAATTCACTGATAAAATGCTATTCAGGTTTTTATAATATTTATACACTCAATGGCCAAAAAACATTTAAATATTTAAATGTTTAAGTTCTAGTCTTTTTAGTTTTAATTTAAGGAAATGTTTCCTATTTATTTATTTACAATGGATATAAAAAGTCTACACACCCCTGTTAAAAATGAAACCAAGATAAATCATGTCAGAAATTTTCCACCCTCAGTGTGAAGTTACAACATATAAAAATTAAGTGAAAAACAATCAGAAACATTTTAGGGAAAAATATGGAAAATAAAAACGTTACAATAACCTGATTGCATAAGTGTGCACACTCTTTTATAATTGGGGATGTGGCTGTGTTCAGAATGAACCAATCACATGTTTGGTGCAAAAAAAAAAAAAAAAAGCCACCAAAAAAAACATCACCAAAAGAACACCATACCGATGGTGAAGCATGATGGTGGCAGCATCATGCTTTAGGGCTGCTTTTCATCAGCCAGAACTGGGGTTTTAAGATGGAGGGAATCATGAATAGCTACAAATAAAAGTTGATTTTAGTGAAAAACCTTCAGGGTTTTTCAAGGGAATTTCACCTTTCAGCACACTTATGCAACTGGGTTATTTTTTTTTTCCCAAAAAAATGTTTCTGATTGTTATTCACTTAATTTTTATATGTTGTAATTTCACACTGAGGATTGGAAAATTTCTGACATGATTTATCTCTTCTCATTTTTTTACCTCACAAAAACCTGCCATTTTAACAGGGTTGTGTAGACTTTTTATATCTATTGTATTAGAATGAGCATTGTGATGCTTGATGTTGGAAAAAAGCACTAAATAAATGCATGTCATTTATGACACTATATTTTCATCATATTTTTTCAAAATTTTTAGAATCATGTACCAAACCACTAATGAATAAAAAGTCAATATTTTTCTAAACTCATTTTTCTAAACACGACATATGGTCTACGATGCTATTATATTTTTAAATTATACTAAAGGGAA